TGCCTCCAGGTATTCCTTCAGATCCAGCCTCCTTCCCTGATGTCTAGTCGGATCCAGCCCCATTGTTCCTTGAAGCCCAGCCGGTGCCCACCTTGCTGATTCCCAAACTTCAGCCAACGCCCACCTTGCTGTTCCCCAACGTTCAGCCAGCTCCAGCCTCGTTGTTCCCTGAATACCAGCTAGTCCCCTGATGTTTAGTCAGCACACACCTCATCTTCTCTTGATGTCCCATCCCTGCCCCCTTCACTGTCCATGAGTCGCCCAACTTCTTGGCTGACGCCTGCCTGGGTTGGGTTGACCCTAATGATGTCTGGTTGGAGAATTTGGAGTGGGACCCTCTGGGCTTTGTCCTATGTCCTGCTCCGTAGGTCCCCACCTCAGTCACACTTGCACATGAGGGTATTACACTTACCCTCTACTGGGAGATTCCAGACTCTCCATCCCTTCTGCTGGCTCTCGTGGACAGTGGATTTTCCAAACTTATGGTCATAATCTTCCCCAAGTCTTTCCTCCTAGGATAGAGTCAACTCCACCAGGGCCAACTGCTTTGTTGCTCTTGACCACAGAACTAGATCAGGCTGGGAGCTTGTGCTGGTGATCTCTTATGGGATTTTTAGTTGCTTAACAAGGTCATCCCTCATTTCCCAGTTGTTTACTGTAGCCAGGATCCCTGTAGCCCCAGCTTTCTTGCCTGCCTTCTCCCCTTCCCTGAGGAAGTGGATGAACTGGGGGCCACTGGCCTGGGGCTTGGTGGGAATTTGCCTTTTCTTCTTCTCCAGACTCTCAGTCAGCTGGGCCAGTACCAGGTCATGGCACCATCTAAACTTGCCATCCACCAAACTTACTCTGCATGATGACAAGATGGACTCCAGGTTAGCTGGTCTTTCAGGCCACACACAGCAGCAGTTCTCTGCCAGTCTTTTACCTGTCATTCAGCTCAGCAGTATACCACCTCCCCACACACAGGACAGCTTTCTGTCTGACAGCTGGAATCGTCTCATCTTCTATTTTAAATTGGCACCAGTCCTGGATTTGGGCTCATGTCAGTAAAAGGCTTCTGGATTTAGCTGGATTTAGCTAGTAGAGATCACAAAACAGCAATAAATTCCTTCATTGCTGTTTTGTGATCTGTACTAGATCTTCTGAAATCTATCTGCCTTCAGGGATTAACCTTGCTGTCAGATCATCCAAAACTGACTTGCCTAGAAGGTTTATTGCTGTTGCATTGGATCACAATGATGGTAAAACTGGTAACAATACCAATAACAATGTCTCCAGTCATTGCCAGTTGGTGAAGATGCCAGATGTTAAGTACATCTTGACATGACTGGAGCAGCTGTCTTAATTTCCCAGGGACATGTTATACCTTCAACATGGTTTCACCTAACCTGTGTGGGACTTATGTAGGCATTTGTTAATTCCAGTGACAGGACTGTCTCCCTGTTTCCATTTTGTGTCCTCGGTGATCTTTGAGATAACACCATTGTGTTCGATGCAGTTGACCACTCCAGGGACTCAACATTTATGTACTGAGGTGTCTATATTTTTATCCATGGGCTCCCTGTCTCCAGGAAAACAAGTCTGGGCCCCCTGCACAGGTTATGATATTATTTCTCTTGCATTCTGCAATGATGACAGAGGTCGTCAGTGTTTATTAATATGAACATAATTTGGTTACACTGCCAAAGAATGTAATTTCTTTTAAATATCTCAAACAAGGTTTCACTCCACTATGTCCACCAGCACTCTTTGTTTCTCAGTTTGTGACTCTGCTCTCAAAAGAGGAGGTGAATGTTTATGAGCAAAAAATGATCTCAGTGTAACATCAAAAGCCTGACAACCATTAAACGTGCTTAACAACTGAAAAGACCCTCATTTTAAGGTATTAGTCTGCAACAGAATAAAACTATTGCAAATGATGATATTTTTAACAATGTATTAAAATGAACCTGATTCCCTGCCTTTCCCCTCCATCAATTACCCTGTGAGACGCCGCTATCAGAATGGTTTCATTTTAGCTGTAGATTCTGGGAGTCTGTGCAAAGTCGCGACCGAAACTCTCACACTGTTTACAACCAAGAAGGAATACTATTGGTTTCTATTAAAAATCTTTTATAAAGTCCTAATTTTAAAACACAATAAAAGTATATTGATATAAATGGTATTGTGTTATCTTGTTTTGAAAATATATCGATATACAATAAAAAAAAATGGATTCAGGCTTCCATGCAGAACTAGCTTTAGCAACGCTGTAATATTTTCCACGCTTCTCAAATAAATTGCGTGGCCTCCCTCAGTCCTCGCTGACGCCCCCTAGTGGGATGCAGCCCCGCAGTTGAGGACCACTACAGTACAGAATGTGCTCAGACGGATGTAACGTGCCAAGGGCAGTGTGCTGGGTGACCATGTGGCCATGTCTGAGGTGGGAGAGGGTGGTAGCTGTTGTTCCTGCTGGTGGCCTGGGGGTATAGACTGTTCCGGAGCCTGGATGCTCTGGTATTAACACTCCTGTACCTCCTGAAAGACGTCATGAGAGTGAAGATTTGGTGGGCAGGGTGGGTGCGAGAGATCACTGATGACACTGCTGGCCCATCTGCGGATTCTCCTGTTACAGATGTCCTGTAGTGAACAGAGATCTGTCCCTGCGATTTTCTGGCTAACCTGATCACACCATATGACCTGGTCTGACACTTCTCTCCTTTAGCCTGTCTCATTGTTGCTGGTGATCAGGCCAATGACTGCTATGTCATCTGTGAACTTGATGATGTTATCTGGTTTGACAGAGACATAGTCATGGGAGTAGGGTGTACAGACTCAGGCTGAGTGCACATCTTGAGGAGTGCATGTGTTCATTAAGAGGGTGCTGGAAGAGTACTTGCTGAAGCAAACAGACTAGGGTCTACCAGTAATGAAGGCTAGTACCCACTTGCACAGTACAGGAGTCCTGCAAAGACTATGCAGCTTGGCGGTGAGTCTAGAGAGGATGACTGTATT